AAATAAAATTAATTGATGATCGAACATGACAATGTGGAAACCAAAACAATTGACACAATAAACCAAATAATTGAAGTCAACATGATTGTGTTCGTTGAAAAAAATCAATACTCATAGGTATACATATATATTATACGTGACTAGTTAATTACAAGTAAAAAACATAACAAGTTTGTGGTGTTCTTTCGTTCTCTGAGCTGGTTGTTTTGGTTGTGGAGCTTTCATTGTTCTTCTGGACAACATCATCAGCACAAACTACAGATAGAAGTGAAGCTACAGGTCAAACGTGGAGAAATTCGAATGCTTCACTTCGGCTATCTGAAGTTTGTGCTGATGGTGTTGTTCAGCAGGAGAACAATGAAAGCTCCACAACCAAAACAACCAGCTCAGAGAACCAAACACCACCACCACAATCATCCACCTGAGCGACAAGTTTTCTCCACCATCTCAACATACAAGTTTATTCACTCATGAATATTAGTTCATTACTAATGTACTAAATGGGTGGATTAGTGAATTCAAGCATTACGGATATGCGGCAGTTAGTTAGGCACCAAAAGATACTTGCACAATATCGAAAGATGAATGGAAGATGAGCATAGAAATTATCGGATGGATAATGGTCAGGCGATTTGTGTGAATCTTTTAGGTTCTGGATCTTTCTATGCTAGGTAAAGTGATTGAAGAACGGTAAGTCGAAGTCGTCTTAAAGTGTGGTTTTTTCTCAAAGGTACTGTATTCTTATATCAAAGTTAGAAAGGCTGGATTCTAGAAATGACTCACCTCACCTTTTGAAAAGGAGGAGTCAATTTACAAAAACCTGCTCAAAATGTCATGTGACAAGCCACATGCAGTTGTCCTTTGCCTTCAGGTTACACCCCCAAGTCGCCAAAACCACCCTTAACTCGATTTGCTTACTAGGTATCCCTCTATAGTGTGAGAAACTAGGTAGTGACAGATCTCTTCTCACCTTTAAAAGAATTCGAGTTCATCTTGTTCACAATGGAATCCTTTGTTAGCACTAAGAGAATCCGTGGACCTGATTCAACAGAATGGATTCAAAGTAAAGGCGTTCTAATTATCAAAACGTTTTAGAATAGGAAAGTGTTTGGTTGATAAGGTCTCAATTGTTATCAGTCTGGTGGTAAATTCTATTTATAGAATATTTTCTTGAATATTGTGCTAGGTAATTTGTTTATTTTCGAAAGAAGTACATTAGAAAATCACAATCATTTTGATTTCTGTGCTCATGAACTCGATCAACACTAACATATAAGTCAAAGGAGTTACTGATTGCAATTTTTTTTAGATAACAAGACAAACTATGAATCAGTATTGCGAAGCGGTGTCTGACTGACTTCCTATCAATAACTTTCATTGTTAAATCATATTGTACTATCCAAAAGTGCAGCGGTATGTTTATAGGAATAAATGACGGCTAGTAGAGGAATTTATGACGCACGTTTCCATCCTATTCAAGACTTGTCAGTCGGATGTGACTGCATAGAAGAGTTAATGTTCACCTATAGTATACGCTAAATACTTCGGTCACAATCTACTGTAGGAGAAACAAACCAGATTATTCCAGTGCAGTAAGAAGCGTTGGAAGTGGATAGGACACATATGGCTAAAAGCACCCAACTGAATCACAAGACAAGTGCTCATTTGGAATCCTGAATTTCAGAGGAAAAGAAGAAAACCAGAAAACACGTAACGTCCACAATTGGAAACAGACACGAGAAGAATGAACAGCTTTTGGACAGAACCAGAAAGAAAGGCTTAGGATAGAATAGCTTGGAGAATGGTAACAGGCAGAAGTAACTAAGTAACGGCGATATCGAAGTAGTCTGCATAGGATGCTTATATGCTAGAGAAAGACCGAAACCAGTCCTAGACATCATGCGAATGATTAGAATAGCTAATGAATTAGATTGGTACACATTTCTTTTATCATAGGCTTTCGTTTGATCACGAATGAATCATTGTTAGAGCACCACTCCATTAGAAATCTGGAAGCACTGAAAGACCTCCGTCTCGTCCTGGTATGGGATTAATCATCAGTAGGGCGCAACCACGACTCCTGCTACTCACGGGATTCGAACCCTGTCACATTTGTCCTTGAGCTCGAATACCTAGCCCTTGGATGACTGAGCCGGCATCCAACAGTGTTAATGTCTAACTCTGATAAATCTGGGAAACTGTTGGGGATGTTACATCCCCAAAATCCGCTTGATAAATGCCTTATTTTGGATTTCACTCACGTTTGCCAGCATGGGCTGATCAGTTGACCTTGAGATTTCAATTCCCACTGTACTGTGGTTGCTGGGTGTTTGTAGAATATACTTTATACGCTTACAAAGTCTTTTCACTCTATTTGGGGATTCAAGGTAGCCTACCTGGACGCTGGTAAAAGTCTCGTTCGCGTTTATCGACTACGGTAAACTCGTAATAGCCTCAAGCATACTTAGTGACGAGCGTAACAGAACCAGTGATTGTTTCGGGTGAAATCTGAAATACTTGCTAACGATCACTACTACTATTATTACTTTCAGTATTTATTAAAATCAATTGTATCGCTTAACAATCAAAAATGTACTTATCATCATGATATCTTGAAAACTAGTACCACTCCCACTATTACTATTGCATAACTTTTAGGATATATTTACCAAATATCCTACGAAGAATTATTTTGTAAGTGTAAATTCTATTGGTCAATATTATCGTCGTCCTAACTATCAATGTCACGTACTTCAATGTTGTTTCCTATTGGTCGTCTTAACTGTCTATGTCACAGACTTCGATGTTGTTTCCTATTTGACCTAACTGTATAAATACGCATTATCTGTAACGTTTTATGACCCGGATCCCTAGTCCGAGATCCTTATTCTGTTCTGGACTCGGACCTCGTACTTTCTGAATGCTTGTAGAATACACAATCTACTTCATATCAAGTCTTCTTCTTTTTTACTCAATAAGGAGGCTTTGGACACTTGGAGGAGGATTAGAGTAGCCTGTTTTGTGTGTCACCGGACCCCTTCCAACAAAGGTGAACTCGTAATAGTTCAAAAGCATATCAAATTGACATGTTTACATGCATGCATGCATCCGTGTAACAACAATAACAATAAACGAAAATCGAATTCAAAAATCTTAAAAAAAAAACAGAACTACAAAAAGCAAATTTGTATTTGTATGTTAATATAACATTAATTAATATTTGTTATAGCGCTAAAGCATTTTTAAAGATAATACATATATATATCATAGTAGTGACAACAATACAACTTTTTTTTTATTATTTAGTATGTACAAGGCACAAACTGGTGCGTATACATAGGCGTGTGAGTGTGTGTGTGTCTGTTTGTTTGTGTGTGCGTTGGTTCGTTCGTCCACTCATTCACAAAATAAGCACAAAACCATTGCAACAAAATAATGCAGAATTATACTACAACGTTACAAATACGGTAACATCACTACTACTACTACTATAGGTGTGTACGTGCGTGTGTGTGTTGGCATATATATAGAACTAGCTGAACAAAACAGTGCACTGTGTCAACAACAGTTGTTTATTTTACTTTTGTAAAAAAAAAGCGAAAAAAATGGGCTTCTACTCCTCCACCATTGTGGTCAGTTTGATTGGACGACAATCAGAGCAGTAGTAGTAGTGGTAGTAACAGTACACAGTGTGCAGCAGCAACGCAACAATACAAAATTTGTCATTACAATATTTGTCAAGTTTTATTTGTCAACACAATACACCGACCGTTTTTTGTATCATGAATATATAAGAAAATCAAAAGAAAAAGTAGTTGCTGTTATTTTTCAAACAAACTTGTATAATAAAAAAAAAGAAAGCTTTTCATTCGTTTTTTGATTTTTTTTTCTGAGGTTAAATGATTCGAATTGATTCAAATCGATAAAGAGTTGTATGGACAGAATTACATATAAAAAAAACGAGAAGAATAATAATTGTGTCTTTTTTCTCAATGAGTTTTATTTTGTTTAATTACGAATTAAATTCATTCTTGTTTCATTTTTGTATATAGTATGAAATAGTGTCACATATCCTGAGTTGCAGTAGTAGTAGTAGTAGTAGTAGTAGTAGTAGTAGTAGTAGTAGTAGTAGTAGTAGTAGTACATGAATAATACAGAGTAGGGTGTTTTTTATTATGTGATTTGCATGGCTGGTTTGTTGTATTTCATTGATCTTGTCCAAGTTGGATAATGACGGAAAGACAAGTGGATTGATTGGGATGCAGGTATGTATGTATGTATGTATGCATTAGTCGTCATCATCATCATCATCATCATCGTAATGCTAATAACACTAATAATAATACAACACAGTTGTTGGAATGCAATAATTAAGGCAACTAATTAACTAACTAACTAACCAACTAGATGAAACTTGGTTTTCAATTTGTTTTTTGCTGTGTTTTTTTTTCACTAACAAAGATAGTCAAATACGTTAAATAGACTAAGTATATAACATATATATATATATATATATACATACATAGATATCATACACATGTTCCCTGAACTGACAACAATTTTAGCATGTCACACAGCGATTGGTCTTTGTGTGCCACCAATGCTGGAAAGCTATACTGGGGTGGGGGGAGGGGAAACAACACTTTCAACGTTTTCATTCGAACGAACGAACAAACAAACAGAAAACTACTCTCAACATCAACAACAACAGCAACATTAAAGAAGTGTGATCCGGAAAAATTGTAAGACCAAGTTAGTTAGGTAGGCAGGTAGGTAAGTAGGTAAGTAAGCAAATATACAGGAAAATTGACATTTGGTCAAAAGAAAGTAGAATATCGAACGAATATGATGTAACAAGAAAAGTTTCAAGTTTTATATATATATATATATATATAAGTGATTTTTACAAGGGATAACAAACTTTCTTTATTCCATGGCATCATTTTATTTGATTAGTATTCTTCTTCTCGTGCATAAGTCCTACTACTGGCTGGATGTTATTAAACACGATAACCATTTTGACGAGCACGTAAATATTCTGTTGCATGAACACTATATTTTTCGCTACGATATCTAGTTAAACGAATAGATTGTCGAAATGCTTCATTGATAGTACCACGATAACCACCTTTACGTAGAAGTGAATCAATTGTTTCACAATGATTCCAACCTACGACATGTAAAAGGAAATAACAATAACAGGTAAATAAATGGATATGTTGTTATTAGTCAGTTTGTTACACATGTAGAACTTTGTACGTACGTATATATAAGTTCAGGTTGCCATAATAAAACGTGTAGACCGCTTCACTTATCTTGGGAGTCTCATCAGTGCCGATGGCCTGGTGACTGACGAAATCTCAGCTCGGATACAGAAGGCTCGATTGGCTTTTGCCAACCTGCGTCACTTATGGCGTAGGCGAGATATCCGTTTCCTGACTAAAGGACGAGTGTACTGTGCAGTAGTTCGCTCCGTTCTCCTATATGGCTGTGAAACATGGCCAGTGAGAGTAGAAGACATACGTCGGTTATTGGTTTTCGATCATAGGTGTCTTCGAAGCATTACTCGTATATCCTGGGACACCCGAGTGAGCAACGCTGTTATTAGGAAACGGGTGCTAGGTAAGAATGGCAGATTAATAAATGAAGTGCTGAAACTTCATCAGTTGAGGTGGTTGGGACATGTGTTGCGTATGCCTAACCACCGACTGCCTCGAAGAGCTTTGTTTTGTAGTGTAGGAATAGGTTGGAAGAAAGTTAGGGGCGGCCAAACCAAAATATGGCAGAAATCCATGAAGTCATTGACGATTGGACTTAGCCATGTCGGTAGTTTTCGACTACCTGGTTGGGATCCGCGAGATGATAATAATCGATGGTTAGATACCCTAAATGACATGGCTCAAAATCGATCGCAATGGCGCTAGTGCATTTATTCTTTGTGTTCTCTCAAATCCTAATCTTCTGGATTCTTCAACACCTCTAGTTTTGACTTTCTAAACTTTTCTCACTGAATCATACTTTTTGAATAATATCATCTAATCCTAACCTCTCCGATTACTTCTAATACTTTTACTACCTCTTCTACTATTGGATTTGAATTGACAATTACTTATCTGTGCTAATGTGGCATCGCAACATGAACTGATGTACTTACGTACGAAGTTGTACGTTGCATCTGACTGACTAAAACCAGGCATAACATTTCATGGACACAAATCGTTTGCATCAGTGGTGCCGGATGATAAAGGAATGTGAGAAGGGTTAGTCGTGTAGATATGAGAAATGTTAGGGGATGCAGGGAGGATTGGGTTGTGACCAATATGGTCTCGTATGCTGTTATGGGTATGAGGGCGGCTGTCACTTCCCGGCTGCCCAAAACCGTGGAAGGGATATGTTAAGAGGAGGGAGAATGTAATGACAAGAGTTTCGATTAATAGACTTCACAAAGGAAAATTATTTCGTCTCCGAGAAAAATGTACTATTTGATTCTCGCAAATGAGGAGATTACAACAATGCTTGTTCATGAAACACCAGATATGAGATTTCTGTGATAAGTAAAGCAGTCAACGCAAAAACAACTAACATGCAGATTTTGATAAATCTGATGAGATCATTGGGATGTTTTACGAATGCCCAACCACCAACTGCCTCGACGAGCAATATTTTGTGGTGTACGAGTAGTTTGGAGAAAAGTTAGGGGCAGCCAAGCTAAAACATGGCATAAATCCATGAAGTCGATGACAAGTGGACTTGGCCATGTTGGTAAGTATAGACTACCTGGTTAAGGTTTGTGAGATAATCGTAACCGATCGTTTGGGACCTTGTTTGACATGGCTCAAAATCGTTTTCACTGACGCATGTGCATCCATTCTTTGTTTTCTGTTAAATCTTAATCCTCTGAATTCGTCAGCTTTATCTTTATTTTTTTATGTTTATTTCACTGGATTATACTTCTTGATTATTAATCTTCAAACCTGAATCATTCCGATTACTGCTAATACTTCTACTATCGACTCAGTGGATCGTGAGGTTCTGTGGCAGTGTCTGTCATTGAAAGGGGTATCAGAGAAGTACATAAACCTTATACAAGCTCTTTACTGAATCACTGCTGGTCGGGTCAGAGCTTATGAATTAGTTACTTCAAGTGGTGTCCGTCAAGGTTGTCCACATTCCACATTCTTATCCAACTTTGTTACAGACATGCTTCTGTAGACTACACTTTCATCGTCTGACTTTTCAGGAGTTGAACTTTTACTGGGATACTATACTTACTTGTTGACTTAGAATACATATATGACACTGTTCGATTTGGTGAGGACGCTGACAAAATGAAGAGTCTTCTGACTATCCTAAGAAACAATGTAAGCATGTTCAGGATACGGTTTCCTACCTGAAAATGAAAAATGTCGCTTCAGGATTGGCTTGCATCCACACATGAACTGGCGATCGGGAGTGAAGTAAGTGAGCGTGTTAACAGCTTCACTTATCTCGGGAGTCTCATCGGTGCTAACGGCCTGGTGTCTGACGAAATCTCAGTACGAATACATAAGGCTCAACTAGCCTTTGCAAATTTCATTCATCAAGTGTAGGCGACATATCTGTCAACCGACCAAAGAATCGGTTTACTGCTCAGCAGTTCGATCCGTCCTACTTAATGGATGTGAAACATCGCCATTAAGAGTGGAGGATATTTGTAGGTTGCTAGAATTCGATCATTGGTGTCTTCGAAGCATTGCTCGTGTATCCTGCGACAACCGAGTGAGCAATTCTGTTGTCAATAAACGAGTACTAGGTAGGGATGGCAAATCAATAGATGAAGTAATGAAAGTTCGTCAGTTGAAGTGGTTAGGTCATAAGTTGCAAATGCCCAACCACTGACTGCCTCGACGAGCTATGTTTTGTGGTGTAGAGGTAGGTTGGAAGAAAGTTAGGGGTGGTGCGACCAAAACATGGCACAAATCCATCAAGTCATTGACAAGTGGACTGAGTCATGTCGGTAGTTGTCGACTACCTAGGTCCACAAGGCAATAGTAACCGATTGTTCTCTTGAATTCTAATCTGAATTTCTCATAACTTTCATCTTTCTCGTCTCAAATCTACTTCACTACATAATACTCCTTGAATAACATCTTTAAACCCTAATCTTTCCGATTACTGTTCATACTCTAACCAACTCTACTACTATGGAATCTGAATTGAAAACTCGATCTCTCTGTGTTCATGTGGTATTATGACAACTGGCACTGATGTGCGTACGTACGTACGAAGTTCTACGTTGTAGCTGACAGAGTGACTGAAGCAAGAATAGTTAGGGAGATATTTTGAATTACACAAAATTAATTGAACTTTAGAATATAGTAGAATGAGTCAACTATGAAATTCCTTAGTGAAATATAAGAATAATAAGCAAAATAATTATCATCTATCTCTTTCAGAGTTAAGGATTCGAAGCTTACCTTGTTTATAGGCAACTTCAGGCAAATACGTAGCAGTACGATGATATCCCTTTTCATTAACGAATTCAATTCGAATTCCATGAACACCAATCTATTTCAATCAATAAGAAATTACGTATAATTACCCATTGCATTTTGCTAACTATGAGAAAACAAAACAAAGTTTTATTACCTATAGTTTAGAAGATGTGTTCATCTAGCAAAGGGAAAATGTAACTACATCGTGGTTCAGTATTTACTACTGAAATCATGTGAAATAAAGTCTCTGAAATTGTAGGACTTAATATCAACAGAACAAGATTGTAGGGAAATACTTATATCTTACTTTAGCTAGATTTTGTGATGATGACGTCTACTAGGAAAACAGTCAGTCAGTTGCAACGTAGAACTTCGTACGTATGTACATAAGTTCATCCCGACCGAAGCTGCTACCTTGACGTGGTGGTCGGGCTTGCCTATCGTGATGACCCAACCGAGCTATACTGGCTGGAACATATGTTCCTCAAGGTTCTACCATGCCAGGCAGGTCGATTGGAGAACGATGTGACTAAAAGCAGCTACCCAAGGTCTGAGGGCGAAGTCGTACTGCTGACTGCAGAGGGGTGTGACAGCAGTAAGGTGTTTCCCTCGGACAACCAGCATCTGCAGCGATGCTGCCTTCTCACAAGGAAGGAAGGGTTAGAAAAGGTCGGCCCTAAAAATGTCACACCTCCCCTAACTCACGGATTTCCGTCTCCCTGGGTAAGGGTGCCCACTGGGCCTTTAAGAACGGAGCTAATCCTCTAAATACCTCACATAAAAAGGCTGTGCGTGACCGGCCTGAAGCAGTTGTCCCTTGGACTCTGCGGTCACGCACCAACACTAATCCATCTTCCTTTTCAGGTCCCTCAAGAAACAACCTTCCACGGTGTGGGCAGCCGGGAAGTGACAACCGCCCTCATACCCGTACCAGCATGCGAGGCCAAATTGTTCAAAATCAAATCCTTCCTACACCCCCTAATGTCTCTCTTATCTCTACGACTAACTGTACTCACACTCCCTTTTCTCACTGCACCGCTAATGCAGACGAAGCGAGATCACGAAACGTCGTTCCTGGTCTCTTGAAACCCCGTTCTAGACTACATATTGGAGCTTTTAATGTACGGACATTGTGTCAAATAGGGCAACAGGCATCATTAGCTAGGACTTTAGAATCTCGTGCCATCGATGTATGCTGCGTCTCGGAAACGCGCATACAGGATCCTAGTAAAATTATTAACCTGATTTCACCTTGTCAAAATAAAGAAGCAGCTCGATTTACTCTTCGTGTATCCGGTAGCCCTGATGCTGCTTCCAGGGGTCTTGCTGGCGTAGGCATAGCGTTGAGTCCTAGGGCAGAATTATCTCTCCTTGACTGGATCCCAATAGATAGTCGTTTGTGCGCTGTCCGACTAAACGGGACAGTAAGGACTCGTAAGGATAGGGACACTCGCCGTTGCCTCTTCGTCATATCTGCCTATGCCCCCACTGACTGCAGTGCAGACGAGGTTAAAGATGAGTTTTACAGAAAGCTTTCGGACCTCCTCCAAAAAGTTAAGCGCTCTGATATAGTTATAATGGCTGGTGACTTTAATGCTCAAGTAGGTAGACTAGGTGAAAAGGAAAGACATCTTGGTGGATGTTATGGTGTAGCGACTGAGAGAACAGACAATGGCGACCGTCTGTTGCAACTATGCTCAGATAACCGCCTATTCTTAGCGAACACCAACTTTAGGCATAAGGAAAAGCATCTGTTGACCTGGCGACCTCCAAAGTCATCTCAACGTTGGACTCAACTAGATCACATCGCCATCAGCCACCGATGGAGGGGTTCGATAGAAGACTGTCGCTCGTTCTGGAGCACATGTGTGGATTCAGATCATGCTCTAGTGCGAGCTCGTATCTGTTTAAGGCTTACTGGACGTAGGAAAGACACCGTAAGGAAGCCTCTTAGGGTTTTACTTAATGATAATCAAACCAAGAAAATATTTCAGGAGCAACTAGAAAGAGAGTTAAGCAACCATGCAAGCGATTCCCATCCAGAAACAGGTTGGTATGATATCAAAAAAGCTGTGGAAACAGCAGTGATATCTGCTAGTAAGGTAAACCATGAGGCTAGGATGAAGCCGTGGATTTCAGTCGCATCCACCGAACTGATGGATGCTCGAAAACGCATCCCACCTGACTCTGAGCATGACGAAGAGCGTAGTCAGCTTAGGCGCAGACTTATAAAAAGTCTGCGTAACGACCGCGAACAGTGGTGGGTGGCAAAAGCAAAAGCGATAGAAAAGGCAGCGGCGATCGGCAACACTAGACAACTTTTCCGACTTATCAAGGAAACTGGTATTAAGAACCCGAATGTGAGTGAGACTATCTCGGAAAAGGATGGTCTTATTATCCATTCTCAACCCAGGAGACTGGATCGATGGGCAGAACACTTTAGGGATCAGTTCAACTGGCCTTCAGCCACACTTCGGTTGCCCACGATCTCCAGTCATCCTGAATGGCAAATCGACGTAAGTCCCCCTAGTCTTAATGACGTTGAGAAAGCGTTAGGAAATCTGAAACGAGGACGAGCTGCAGGTCCTGATAGACTGATCCCTGAGATATTTAAGGATGGTGGTCCAGTTTTAGCAGCTAGGTTGACTGAGATCTTAGGTAGAATCTGGGAACTGGACGTAATCCCATCCGACTGGTCTCAATCCTTGATTGTCCCAATCTATAAGAAAGGACAAAAGTCTTCTTGTGACAATCACAGGGGAATAAGTCTAACTAATATAGTATCTAAAATACTGGCCTCAATAATACTTCGACGCTTAACGAAAGCTCGTGAAGAGCAGACTCGAGAAAACCAGGCTGGTTTTCGACCTGGACGTGGTTGTATAGACCACATTTTCACGCTCAGACAGGTCCTGGAACATAGACACACATTTAGGCGTCCTACAGTAGTTGTTTTCCTAGACATTAAGGCGGCATTTGACTCTGTGGATCGTGAGGTTCTGTGGGAGTGTCTGTCATTGAAAGGTGTACCACAGAAGTACATTAAACTCATACAAGCTCTTTACTCGAACACCACTGGTCGAGTGAGAGCTTATGGCGAACTGTCACCGGAATTCTCTACATCAAGTGGTGTCCGTCAGGGATGTCCACTTTCTCCATTCTTGTTTAATTTTATCATAGACATGCTCCTAGACATAACATTATCCTCGTCTGAATTTTCAGGAGTAGACCTTCTACCAGGTAGCTCGCTTATTGACTTAGAATATGCCGATGACATTGTCCTACTTGGTGAAGACGCTGACAAAATGCAGAGTCTTCTGACTACCCTAAGCAACAATGCAAGCATGTTCGGGATGCGGTTTTCCCCCTCGAAATGCAAAATGTTGATTCAAGACTGGGTTGCATCGGCACCTGAACTAGTGATAGGGAGTGAAGTAGTCGAACGTGTAGACCGCTTCACTTATCTGGGGAGTCTCATCAGTGCCGATGGCCTGGTGACTGACGAAATCTCAGCACGGATACAGAAGGCTCGATTGGCTTTTGCCAACCTGCGTCACTTATGGCGTAGGCGAGATATCCGTCTGCTGACTAAAGGACGAGTGTACTGCGCAGTAGTTCGCTCCGTCTTACTTCATGGCTGTGAAACATGGCCAGTGAGAGTAGAAGATATTCGTAGGTTAATGGTTTTCGATCATAGGTGTCTTCGAAGCATTGCTCGTATATCGTGGGACACCCGAGTGAGCAACGCTGTTATTAGGAATCGGGTGCTAGGTAACAATGGCAGACCAATCGATGAAGTGGTGAAACTTCATCAGTTGAGGTGGTTGGGACATGTGTTGCGTATGCCCAACCACCGGCTGCCTCGTCGAGCCTTGTTTTGTAGTGTAGGAATAGGTTGGAAGAAAGTTAGGGGCGGCCAAACGAAAACATGGCAGAAATCCATGAAGTCATTGACTAGTGGACTGAGCCATGTTGGTAATTGTCGACTACCTGGTTGGGGTCCGCGAGATGATAATAATCGATGGTTAGAGACCTTGAATGACATGGCTCAAAATCGTTCGCAATGGCGCCGGTGCATTTATTCTCTGTGTTCTCTCAAATGCTAATCTTTTGGATTCTTCAACACCTCTAGTTTCGACTCTCTAAACTTATCTCACTGAATCATACTTCTTGAATAATATCTCCTAATCCTAACCTCTCCGATTATTTCTAATTCCCTTACTACCTCTTCTACTATTGGATTTGAATTGACGATTACTTCTCTGTGCTGATGTGGTATGGCAACATGAACTGATGTACTTATGTACAAAGTTCTACGTTGCATCTGACTGACTGACTGACATAAGTTCAGGTTGCCATACCACATTATTAGCACAGAGACGCAAACGTCAAATCAAATCCCATAGTGATAAAGATAGTAGAGGTATTAATGTTAATAAAGACTAGGGTTCGAAGATATTATTCAAAAAATATAATTCAGTGAGATAAGGTTAGAAAGACAAAGGTAAAGGTGCTGACCAATCCAGAAGATTAGGATTTGAGAGAGCTCAAATAGTGGATGCACCTGCACCATTGCAAGCGATTCTGAGCCATGTCGTTCAAGGTCTCTAGCCATTGATGACTTTCGCCTCGCGGACCCCAACCAGGTAGTCTACATCTACCAACATGACTCAGTCCACTTGTCAGTGACTTCATGGATTTCTACCATGTTTTGGTCTGGCCGCCCCTAACTTTCTTCCAACCTACTCCTACACCACAAAACATAGCTCGTCGAGGCAGTCGGTGGTTAGGCATACGTAACACATGTCCCAACCACCTCAACTGATGAAGTTTCACCACTTCATCTATTGATCTGCCATCCTTACCTAGTACTCGTTTCCTAACGACAGCATTGCTTACTACTCGGCTGTCCCACGATATACGAGTAATGCTTCTTAAACATCTATGATCGAATACTAGTAACCTACGAACATCTTCTACTCTTAACGGCCATGTTTCACAGCCATATAAGAGAACGGAACGAACTGCTGCGCAGTACACCCGCCCTTTGGTTAGCGAACGGATATCACGCCTACGCCATAAGTGACGCAGGTTGGCAAAAGCCAATCGAGCTTTCTGTATCCGAGCTGAGATTTCGTCAGTCACGAGACCGTCAGCACTGATGAGACTCGCCAGATAAGTGAACCGATCAACACGCTCGACTACTTCACTCCCTATCACTAGTTCAGCTGCCAATGCAACCCAGTCTTGAAGCAACATTTTGCATTTCGAGGGGGAAAACCGCATCCCGAACATGCTTGCATTGTTGCTTATGGTAGTCAGAAGACTCTGCATTTTGTCAGCGTCTTCACCGAATAGAACTATGTCATCGGCCTATTCTAGATCAGTTAGAGACTTTCCTGGTAGAAGGTCAACCCCTGAAAAATCTGACGAGCTTAATGTTAACTCTAAGAGGATGTCTACGACAAAGTTAAACAAGAATGGAGAGAGTGGACATCCCTGACGGACACCACTTGATGTAGAGAATTCCGGTGACAGTTCGCCATATGCTCTTACTCGACCAGTGGTGTTCGAGTAGAGTGCTTGTATAAGGTTAATGTACTTCTTTGGTACACCTTTCAATGACAGACACTGCCACAGAACCTCACGATCCACAGAGTCGAATGCCGCCTTAAGGTCCAGGAACACGACTATTGTCGGACGTCTAAATGTGTGTCTGTGTTCCAGGACCTGTCGTAGTGTGAAGATGTGGTCTATACAACCACGTCCAGGTCGAAAACCAGCCTGGTTTTCTCGAGTCTGCTCTTCACGAGCTCTAGTTAGACGTCTAAGTATAATCGAGGCTAACAATTTAGAAACTATATTAGTTAAACTTATTCCCCTGTGATTGTCACAAGAAGACTTCTGTCAATTAGCGACTGAGACCAGTCAGATGGGATTACGTCCATTTCCCAGATTCTACCTAGGATCTCGGTCAGTCTAACCGTTAAAACTGGACCACCATCCTTAAACATCTCAGGGGTAAGCCTATCGGGACCTGCCGCTCTACCTTCCGTTAGATTTCCTATAGCTTTCTCAGCTTCATTTAAACTGGGAGGACTTAAATCGATTTGCCATTCAGGATGACTGGGGATCGTGGGTAACCGAAGTGTGGCTGAAGGCCAGTTGAACTGATCCCTAAAGTGTTCTGCCCATCGGTCCAGCCTCCTAGATTGAGAATGGATAATAAGACCATCCTTTTCCGAGATAGTCTCACTCACATTCGGGTTCCTAATACCGGTTTCTTTAATAAGGCGGAAAAGTTGTCTAGGAAAACAACGAAAGTTTCGCAATGATACTACCAAATTTAGAGAAACAAGTCAGATACATGAATAAGGCTAAAAACTATCAATGATTGAGGTAGTTAGATGCTACGCATGCCTAACCTACTTAATTTTTATCTTCTTTGAAATTGTAAATAACATACCCATTTTTCTAGTTAAATTACTTTCTTTTGAAATCTATCCTCCTATTTTGAAAAATTCTGTCGTCTAAATTAAGTTCTCATCTTCGAAGGCCTAGATAAAGCATACTAATTTGTGGTGTGGTTATTAGGAGAGATACATACTTTTGCTAGGGCAGTGGTTAGAAACATCAGGTATACAATTTACAATTAATGAGTCACAGGTTTGAAATTTTGATTCGCAGATATTAGTCAAGGCAGCAGAGCGATGTTACTGCTGTACCTAAAAACTTAGTATACCAACCTATAACTCATTACCAAATTGCATGTGCCATGTTAGGTCAGATGAATGTTCAAAATAGAAATGTGTTTAATGATATTTGGAAGGAAAGCAGTACATACAGTAATATTGTTTATCTGATATAGCAGCTGACGGTATTTCAAAGGAAGAGATAAGTATAATTTATCCCTTAATAAAACCTACTGAAGTTGGGCAATATTATCAAACTAAGTGAATGGTTCACAAAACTATTATTCAATAAAACGTAGTCGAATGTCTATTACGAAATTATTATCCCACTTTATAAGACTAGATGGATACTGATTAAAAAGAAACAACCAACATATACAGCGTCTATTCAAACATAAGCAAACGTAAGATGCTAATTATAACCCAAAAGTATAAACTAACCTGCCAATCATGATAGTTTTTACCCTCCTCAAAATTTAACAACAAGGATACAGAACATGTGAGATGAGGAAACTCCTCTTCCGTTATTGGTGAGAAACGACTGTCCTTCATAGCACTGAAGGGTTAAAAAACAGGATTATAAAAATATAAACAAACCTGTTGATTGCGTATTCACGAAGACCATTATGGATATTCAAGGCGGTAAACGTTCCAATACATCCACGCAGTTTTTCTTCTTTTCCGTAAGTCCATGTCACGAAAAGCGGACTACAGATAAATAAGTAAGACCTCAATTTACTAAGAGCTGTTTGGAAATGTTTTGGGGGCAGGAGGAGGTTCAATATTATGTAAATGATTGTGAAGAACATCAAAACAAAAGTAACACATTTCGCGTCTAACAACCCCGTGTGTGCTTAGGCCATTACGAGTAACACATGATCGGGATGTTGATTCCTCATCTAATCTTTGCTTTTTAGCTCCAAAGCAGGACGAAGGAGCTCTGGAACGAGCCATAAACACGACAGATTGTAAGTAGTGACCTAGGACACACAAACCACCCGCCGTCCTTCACTAATAACAAAGAAGTAAGTTTTGTCATTCAAGCTATTAAAACTTGTTGAGTATTAGTAGTAGTTGTTGCTGTTGTTGCTGACAGTTTCTTGGATTTGCAATGTGGATTGTGAGAATGCACAGTCATTCAAAATTTTCAAGGAATTATTACGGTATTCAATATCTTTACAGTTCGTGAACATAAGTGTATTGATGTACCGATGTCTTGTAAAGGAAGGATCCTACATGTGTATCCATAAGATATAACCTGGTTAAATTATCGTAAATGATGTCAGTTTGTTTGATACACGATTGTTCGTTGATTTGTTTTAGGTTCGGGTGATTAGGTCCTTGAGTGATCGGGTTCTCTTGTTAGTAGAATGTTTGTGGACCTCTGAAAAACTATCTATCAAGCGCAAACATTTCTATCGTAGATAGCAGACGAGTAAAGCCCTGAGAGTTGGTTCATTACTGTCAAGACTAAGGATAGATAGCGAAAACCGATCGATTGCTAATCACTGAAACGATTGTGGGGCTATTATGAGCTACCTTAACCTGCACTCCATTCTTCGTGTTCTCCGAAATCCTGAGCTTCTAAATTCCTCATGACCGTTTTTTGTCATCTTTTAGATCGATTCTTCTGGGGTGTACATCTTGAATGAAATATTCCATCAATAACCCTTTTAATTACTACTAATGCTTCTATTAATGCACTACTATGGGATTTGAATTGATAGTTGCGTCTCTGTGCTAATGTGGCATGGCCACTTAAAGTGGTGTACGTGTGTAGGTATGAAGTTCTACATTGTGGATGATGATTTACTACGTTAAATCTGAGTGACTGACTGACTCACTAATAAGTTGCTCTGATTTGTCAAGATTCTACACGTTCTAGGGAGTTTCTGTGGAAGCCGCATTACCTGGTTCTCATATCAAGCTAACCCAGGTTAGACATTATTGTGCGGTGTGGCCTAGACGTTAGCAAGGAAGTCACACCATTCAAGTCAACCAAAACTTAACCTGCCATACACATTGCTGACCTTCATTGATTAATAAGACAGAAGTAGTCATTCTGCTATTAAAACATTTAGTTGGTTACTGAAGCCGTATTAGCTTTATATTGCTGATAGGTTTCGTTTAGGATCCGAAGAATCTTGCGCATACAACTGATAATAAAAACCTTTGTCTTTCGGATTATGGCTCTACACATTTCTGCTCCATACAATAGAACTGTCTTGACGTCTGTACTGAAATTTGTGACTTTAGTCTTGGTTGACAATTGTTTTGTTTGTGAATGTTATTCAGTTGTTGAAATGCTACCCCTGATTTTGCTAATCCATATCTTAACATCTGCTTCAGACCCACCTTGTTTATCAGTGTTGTTATCCAGGCTAGTATGTTATGGTTTACACATATTTGAGAGTCTTACCATCAAGTGTGATTTAGTCAGTGCATGTTGTATTGCATCGGAGAGGTTCACTTATTCTCCTGTGTATGTGTAAGCCTTCTCTTGTAGAAGATGATGCTACACACTATTTATCCTTAGTAACCCTGCCATTTAAAGCTTAAAATGTTTGAATAACTTGAAAACTGGAAAATAATTCATTATAATCCTTATAATCCTAACTTATTAGGTAAGATTCATCTGTTCCCAACTTAGGCACTATCGGCCTAAAATTGTCAGCTGTTTTGAAATATTTCTAAAGTGTATACTTAATATAGCTTTGCAACATGGAACTTTTCACAAAACTAAGTTTATCAAAAGAAATTTCTGCTAAATGCAAGCTTGATGTATTTGGATTACTTTCTGTTATTACAGAGTGGCAAGCCACATAATCTCATGATCTAGCATATGAATTAATCCGGTCTACTTCTAGTCTAAACAGTTATTCGGGAGTGAAAGTTACAAACTAACGCTGATGAATTCCACCTCGAAAAAAATTCGCTTATTGAAGTTACTTTTAACCAACTTTTAATTAACAACTCAAATCGAAGAATTAAAAGGATGGTTTATGAAAATTTGGTATTTATGGATTTATTTATTGAAGTGTAAAGTGGTGACCATTAATAATTTTATTCGGAATACTAGTCAGCAACACCAAGAAATGTCGAATTTGTACTCCGATCGTCACGTATGGACCAGCAATGTATTCAGGAAGAACTTCATGAGCTAAAATCAGCGAATTGCATTCGGAAAACCAAACCAAGAGCGGAATCTTAATGTACAAAGGACACTGATCAACCTGCCAACTTATATTTTTACATAAGGCAGTGATTGAATGGTCATAGTTTCAGTTTCGAGAATAATGATCAAAGTCGCAACCAACCAACCAAATTCTGCATATTATCCACAATTTTCTGAGGATCGAACTATCGGATAAAGTGATTTCCGACAGCATATTTATGTCTTAATTTGTAGCTGATACTGGCATAATCCATCATTAACTTATTAAAAAAACTTAAAAAGCAAATTCTGGTTGAAGACTAGATTCTAGTAGGTATGTCTCAAGAGGTAATTTTGGTAGTATTGTAGTTCTGAAATTTAATGCATTTTCTTATCATATAACATGCTTTAGAATTAGCATATGCCTTGAAAACCTAATTTGAACTACTTATGTCGAACCTAGAGTTTATAGCTGACAATTTTTCTGATTGTAAACGATGAACCACCGCTGATCTATAATAAGGTGTACTTAAGAAACGTCAACCGATTACTAGGGTCAATAGAGAGTTACACGTGAGAGTTATTAGTTCATAGACTCAATGTAGGAACTTATGATTAGCACCTTAGTCCAGTGAATCTTTATTCATTACAATAGTCGCGTCTTAAAGGTAACCTAATGGCTCATATCACCCTAATGACCTTCTAAAACACCAACCTAGGCCCAGTCCCAACTCAGATACTTTGGGCAAAACCCAGAAATAAGATGTAAACATAAAAAGGTGAGTTATAGATACTCCTAATCTTTGAGAATAGTCAACCACTGAAGTTAGGGATGGATGAAGTTATCCAAGAAGTGTACCTTAAGCTCTCCAAGTCTGAACCTGATATACTCTTCAGAACTCAAGGTAGTATTTCATCATCAATTAGGAATATTAAACTTTTGCTCTTGAATTATATCAGGGCTTCTATTTGGGATCAGCAGCGTTCCATTTTCACTAGATGCGGTCTGTCAGGCGTAAGCCTCTATTACGTCGACAACCTCCCTAAAGGGTAGTTTCAAGATAAAACTTGATTAAAACTCGTACTCCCCCTAGACATGCACCAAGCACATCTAGTCTAGTCCTGCAACCTCCTCAGATTACTGACTTAATCTATCTCATTCACATCCTCTGTTTCTTTTCCCTTGCTTACACATCTGTCCTCTTTGAATCTAATTGCTTAATATTTCTATTTGTTTATTTACTTAGTTCTGCAATATTCTTCTCATTAGCATTAGAATTTTCTGTCTATTATTCTTCACATTGCAACTAACTGATCTACGATTTGGTAATGTGAGTGTTGCCGGTTTCCATAATACCAACTGCCCTGCAACAAACGTACTCATACAAATCATCGAACCAACAACTTCATACATAACCACCAAATGACCACAATTAGTGTGGTCTAGTGTCGAGATTACCATCTGTTCGACACTACCAAATATCTTAACCGTACGTAAAGCAGAAGAATTGAGTGCAGGGAGATAAGTCGGTTTATATTAGCTCATAAAAGGTACATCAGATATTAGATAGACACCGCACACCCGAGAAAAGTAAGACTTAGGTTGGGAGAGGTTCTGAACGCTTGCTACAGACGTAAAGGAGAGCATAGCACAAGTAGAAGGGCTCTTTGAAGGATTCCGACCGCAGTTCTTACTTGGCATTGAGAAACAGGTGCAATACCAAATTTTGAAGCGATATGGAACTCCTTCAGATGAAGATAGCTGTCATATTACCGGCCAACCCTAAGCATCTGTTTAGGTTCATGATAAAAAGAAAACCTACGAATCAGGGTTTGTGTTCCATCAAAGGTCCTAATGGAGAAGATCCCACCAACCTAGAGCTGACTGAGACCTTCAACACCAACTTCAACGATAAGTTAAACCAGGCATCCACATAATCAGAGTACTATGGAAACCCAGTGGCAGCTGACAGATAAAGTTATATCCATATAACTACTGATTTATTACTAACAAAACTAAAATCCTTACTCCCATTAAAGTCACCAGGTAGTGACAATGTTCGCCTTATAGCCTTAAAGCATTTCGCAGAAGCCCTGTGTTCACCGGTATGTAACCTGCTCAGGCATTCACTGAAGTCACACCAATTCCCAGCTGAATGGAAACATGATAGTCTTACTCCACTTTTCAAAGGTGGTGATTGTAAGGACCCATCCTGTTACAGACCAGTCGCATTACTACCAATACTACCGAAGTTAATGGAAGGGCTGGTGAACGAACAGATGACGGGGTACATAGATAAGAACAAAATCCTCCATGAAGCTCAACACGGGTTTTAGAAAGACAGGTCATGTGCATCCAGTTTTTCCATAACACGAGGCAGTTGGACATCCTGCTTGGACTGAAAAATACCGGTGCACATAATATCTGTTGACTTCGGAAAATGTCTTTGACACAGTGCGCCACTCACGCCTAATCGTAAATGTTGAGGGAATGAGCTTTACTGACCTACTTCTATCTTGGCTCAGAAACTGCCTTCAGAATAGGAAGTTCTACACAAAGGTAAATAGAGTGCTCGCGAGTTGTTGAGTCTCAACATTGGAAGTTTTTCAGGGAACCATCTTAGGTTCACTTCTTTTCCTGATATTCATTGACGATTCAGAGCTTAGAAATCAGTTAGTTTGTACTAGCTCGTGAAAATGATATTGGATATATTGAAAATTTGATCTGAAGGCGGTGGTTTTATTTTCAAGGTCGGGCCTGTTCTAATCACGAGGTTGGTTTGTTTTATCTCAAGAAGAATCCACTAGTGGTCTCTCTACACTAGTTCATACGGTTCAGAACACTGACGTCTCAATAATTTTATTCTAAACACAGAGTCTTAACTCTGACATAGTCTTAGTATCTCGAACGTGACGACGAAATAACTCATGATACTTGCCGTACATACCTCATTTCATCCACACTTCAACATATCACTGTTTTCTTCAAGGCTGAGACGTTTTGCAAAATTTAGTGCCTCTACATTGAATTCTTTATCATGTGACAAACTGGACTTCTGAATCCCTTATTATTAGTTTGAAAATATTCGAACGCATTCGAAACATCGTGCTACCATCGTTTGGTTCTGACCATAAGTTTTTCTTTATCCCATGCTTGTGTTATCCCTCTCCCGGATATTCGGAAAAATGTACTGCAAACGATATTAATACCCACGTTCACGAGTATATTTGTCTTCAACCTTCTTTCCATGAAACGTTTTGTTATCTGTGTGACTCACATTGAAGGTCAAATTTAACTAAACAACCACTAAGACGCGTGGGATGCTGGAAGACTGTCCGGCTCTTCACAGTTTGGCTGTGCACATTCTTAAACTCCATCCAAGATCTAGTACATGACCTTGATACAAGCACTTAACATTCGGGTCATAATTCTAATTGCAGTCGCTTCTTCATACTGTATGAGGGTCATGTATAATGAAACAAATGTTCAGCTATCCTTAATTTTGTCGTTGATCGTATATGTTTTAAGCAAGACCATAACATATGGTATCTTCAGATTAAATAATATTCATATGTACCCTATTCTAATATATAACTCGGTATTCTCCAAGTTTGCAAATGTCTAGGGAGTTTATTTTCAAACCATTAAGTGGTCCGAATTCTACTTTACCAACCTTCATTTTTACAACTTTATATTATTATTAGCCTTCACGTGAACTATGGTTCGTAGTAAATGAGTTCCGAAATTTGAAATTGTAATCTTATTTGAAAAGTTATTGTATCTCCCTTTTTTTAGAAATATGAAGAAGTCAAAGAAAAAGTAAGTCTATAAGAAATAGTTTTTAATGTATACAAATTATAGATAAGATATGTATGGATAAAAATATTCTATAATTTCATATTTATTTTTGATGAATTTGTAATTTCCACTAAGGCGAAAATTTCAGTGAGAAGAAAGCTTCTTTTCTGACTATTTCATTTACTAAAATCCTTACTATCGTTTGTTGAAGGAACATTGTATGTTAATTTACTTTGTTGTAGTGAATAGAATCTATAGGATCCAGTTCTTAATAATTGAAATAGATTATGGGCACATAGATCACTTGTTGTTTTAGCCAAACTAGTACATACTGCTTATCTGGTTATGGTTTACATAATAACCGTGACCAGTAGTTGGACGCTGAGGGTAACGTAACCTAGAATTGTTCACAATAGCGCAGATATATGCTCTTTTTTTTCTAACTTCCTCTCAATTTTAAGTTCCAGTATCCTTCATATACATACCTTAACACTACATCTTTTTAAACGATTATGTCCTATCTCCGCTCTTTCTTACTTTCATTGCCATTATATTATTCCGATCGTCTTTGCAATTCAACTTGTTTTATTCATCTTATGAAGAATGGTATCCTAAAAGCTGTAGAAAAAGCAGTGATATCTCGCAATAAATTAAACCAAAAGATTAGGGAGGAACAATGGATTTCAGTAGTATTTATCAAACTGACAAATAGTCGGGAACTCATCCCGTCTGGCACAGGCTGACAAGAAGTCTATTGCAAATAGTAATGAGTAGCGAAAATAAAAGAGATGTAAAAGGCTGCAACAATAGGTTACAGTAGAAAACTATTCAGACTTATCAAAGAAACCGGTTTTAGGAATCCGATTGTTAGGAAGACTATCTTGAAGAAAGACAGGTCTATTATCATCAGTCAGGTTAATGTAAATACTTGAAAAGTCGATAGGCGATCTACGATTGGGAAAAGCAGCAGAACTTGGTGGATTATTCTTGAGATTTTTTATAGACAGTGACCCAGTTTTAATAGTGATATTGACCGAGATCTTAGGTAGAATTTGGAGAGTGAACATAACATGAAATTGATTTTTCCTCTTTTCAAAAAAAAAAAAAAATACAACAGCATTAAAACTAATTTATATTTTTATAGGTTATTAAATTACACTGAACTTCGTAAACAACATTTACTTGAAGATAATGAAAAAGAAGAGAAAATTCTTAAACAATTAACAAAAAAATTAAAAATGAATCGTAATTCTACAAAAAATAAACAGAAAACCAAAGAACAAACTCCTCTCTGGTTAACACAATGTGGATTTGATTGTACTGTGTAATTAGTTTTTTTGGGTTAATTGTTAATACCAATTTTTTTTAAAAAAAATGTAGATATATTGAATTTTGAGAAACAGATTAATGTGGAGGAGAATACGAGTAGTAGTAATGATACTACTCTATGTACTACTGTTGGAGTAACTTCAAAGAAAAGTACGAATTTGTCTAATGTCAATTAATTTTTTTTTCAAAAAAAACTAAACTATTTTAGAAAGAAAATCACTTGATTTATATGGTCAAAATACAAATGACAATGATAGATCAATCGTTGATTCTGATCATCAACATACAGTGTTGAATGAATCGATGCAATGCACAGATCCGTCTGGCACAACTTTCGATCAAGTCGAAGAAGATGAAGTTGATATTTCAATGACATCTAATCATAATAATAATGATACTGGTGATGATTCGAATGCAGATCTCTACAAATCTATACGTAATTCATTAAATCGTTTATCGGAATCACAAATGTCAAAAATTATCACAGAACTATGTGATTTATTCTCGAAATATCCACGTGCCGCGGTTCGATCGTGTATTATTGAAGAATCGTGCAATTTAATCGAAGTATGCTTTAATATGTGCATACTTTAATCCTGTGTTTTTTTTCTACTTATATCCTCTAGTGTACTCAAGTAAATCGTAATTCTAAACTTGGATGGTTACATCAAGAATTAGCTGTCTGTATAACATGTGTTCAAATTACATTGCATAGTTTATTTCAATCAGCACCTTTGATTGGTTATTTGGTGGAATCGATTGTATTTCGACTTTTTCCTGACAAGAATAAATCAGTATCATTAGCATCAAATGAAATTTGTTCTTATTCAATTTTTCTTGCCTATTTGTATCGTTTTGGGGTGAGTAGTTTTATTAATGATGTATTTTATAGGGACTAGAGCAAAATAATTTAATGTAACTTCCTTTTTTTAGTCATTTAGGAGTCGTTTTCTTTTAAGGCAAATATTGTCGCTGATTTAGAGGGCAAGAATAAGGTAAAATATTGAATACGTAGTCAGTTAGTCAGTTACAACATAGAACGTCGTACGTACGTACATCAATTTAGCACACAGACGCAATTGCCAATTCAAATCCCATAGTAGTAGAGGTAGTAGAGGTATTAGCAATAATCGGATAGATTAGGGTTCGAAGATATTATTCAAGAAGCATAATGCAGTGAAATAAACTTAAAAAGCCAATCGAGCCTTTTGTATCCGTGCTGACATTTCGTCATGCACCAGGCCATCAGCACGGATGAGGCTCCGGAGATGAGTAAAGTGGTCAACGAGCTCAACTGCTTCACTCCCTATCACTAGTTCAGGTGCTGAGCAAGCCAATCTTGAATTAACGTTTTGCATTGCGACAGGGAGTCGAAAACCTAAGAAGCAGCTAGTTGTTTCATTTTGAGACTGATTAACGTAGTTCATGCAAAACTCTTCTGCCAACATATTAGTCAATATTTACACATTTCTAAGCAATCCTAAACTAGGATAAAACAGGGCTAGTTCAATGTTCACTGTGTGCCGTACACATTGAAGACCAGAAGGAATATATATATATATATATATATATATATATATATATATATATATATATATATATATTCGAGGAATGTTTACAAAATATGTACACATCGTCTTCAGTCATTAATTTACAATCTAAGCAAATTTATTGACTGTCTTCTCTCATATCTTTTCTAATCGTCACATCACACTGATTTCGCTATGCATTTCGATTTCCTTACACTCCTCTCTGGAAGTAACTTCTAGGAGACTCACCGTTGCATACTACTTTATAAGCCATTTTGTGAGAAGTATATATACACCACAGTTGTTTCTCAGTTTTCATAAACCTCCGCTTAATTCATTTTCCTCTGTCTATGATACTTTTTTTATTCTAGGTAGTTTCAGGTACTCTCATTTTAGATATTTTGAAAGCGTATCTACAGGACTGTGATCTAGGAAAATTGAAAGCTGCTCATTTCATTTCAATCGGTAAGTTATGGTTTTGATCTACACAGTATTGGTTTGCATAATAATGTGATGTTTATTCAGTCTTTATCAGTTAGATAGTATGATTAATTAGCAAACGATCAATATGTATATATAAACCTTAGCCCGCATATAAAACTCTCTATGCGCTTTCCAAATTTCAATCCTATTCATTAGGTGTAGATGAGTGTTTCTATAGAAAGCTATCTCGACTTCAAATCCGACCTCATCTACTTCTTTTTGGCTCATGAGTGGTATTATCACTAATACTCACTAAAACTGTGTAGTTACGAAACTCTATACTCGGCTGGGTGAGGTAAGGTGAGGTGTGACATTTTTGGGATCGACCTTTTTTTTACCGCTTCCTTCCTTGTGAGAAGGAAGCATTGCTGCACAGGCTGGTTATCCGAGGGAAACACTTTATTGTTGCTGTCACATCGCTCTACAGTCAGCAGTACGACTTCGCCGTGAGGCCTTGAGTTGCTGCTTTTTGTTCTTACCGATCTCCAATCCACCTGTATGGCATAGTAGGACCTAAAGGAACATATGTTCCAGTCAATATAGCTCGGTTGGATCATCACGGTAGACAATCCCGACCAACACATCAAGGTAGCAACCATTGTCGGGGATCGACAATTTGATCTCTTTGTACTAGAGTGGTCTGGGAACGTGGACTAACATACGTATGTATCAAGTTCTATATTGTAGCTGACTGGTTGTAATAGTCATAGTATTTCTACTTGACTAGGTTTTACTGTTAAGTCTAGAATTCAACAAATGTGCTTTCTATGCTTCAAAGTTTTCAAATCATTTGATCATTTAAAGCAATAATAAACCCAGAGTCAACTGACGAAATGCAATAATAGAACTAGATTAAAGCCCTTTTTCTATTCATCTAACTACTATGTTAAGTGATTAGCGACTATAGAGCAAAAAGCCATACACCTAAGTTTCATACTTACTTACGCCTATTATCCCTAATAAAGCACAGGCCACCGATTAGTAAATTATTTTTCCAGTTAGCATTGTTTGGATTTCTAAGGGTTGGGGTCGCCAATCCCATGCCCAACTCTCCTCCTTTATCCGGGGGCTTAGGACCAGCAGTAACCCTTGGAAGGGTCTCCAAGCAGAGTTAAGTTCCATACTAGTTTATAACTTTGTGGTAACGTCTTGTCATTACATTTGATGTAAAAAAAAGAGTTCGAATCCCCTACGGAACCATCTGTTTCTTTCAAGACAGACAGACAGACAGATACAACGCAGAACTTCGTACGTAAGTACATCAGTTCAGGTTGCCATGCCACATCAACACAGAGAGACGCAACTGTCAGTTCTAATCCAAGAGTGATAGCAATAATTGAAGTATTAGCAGTAGTAACGGAGAAGATTAGGGAGCGAAGATGTGATTGGAGAAGTATAATTCAGTGAGATAAATTTAGAAGGAGAAAGGTAGAGATGATGAGGAATTCAGAAGGTTAGAATTAGAGAGAACACAAAGAGTGGATGCACCTGCGCCATTGCAAACGATTCTGAGCCATGTCGTTCAAGGTCTCTAACCATCAGTGACTATCGTCTCGCGGACCCCAACCAGGTAGATTCCTACATCTACCAACATGACTCAGTCCACCTGTCAGTGACTTCATGGATTGCTGCCATGTTTTGGTTTGCCACCCCTAGCTTCCTTCCAATCTACTCCTGCACTGCAAAACAATCGGTGGTTAGCCATACGTAACCTATATCTGCAGTTTCTTTGAAGACTGCAGATATAGCTTACACGATGAGTAATAATACCATCTAGCCATAATACCTAGGCGCTGGCTACGTTTCCCATTAATTATCTTCAACCATTTACCACTCTCACGTATTGTTTTGTATGATGATTAGTATTTTATTTATTTATATATTTTTATTTTTTAATTTAGCGGTAGGTGTTAATCTACGCAAATTCAATTTGACTATATGTCAAGAAATTATTCAACAAGCAAATGATCAACTTCAAAAGTATAAAATGCAAAACTCTTCTGAACTAGCGTATGTCAATCATTCGTTATCCGTCTGTGCTTTGTATTTTTCACTGAAATTGCAAATCATTTATGTAATAATCTCTTGTTTGTTTCTTTGCTGTTATTGCTTTTATTCAGATTTGAGTTGGAAGGGTTAATTCAACGTCTTTCAGAGAAACGTTCTGTCGAGGAGTGTGTTACACGATCAGTTCATTTACATAAACTTATGAGGATATGGACTAAAGGTATAATGCGCGTGTATTTGTCTTAGCTTGTGTGTGTGTGTGTTTATGTGTGCTTTGCGTGTTAACAGTGTTTTCAAGTCAGTTATGTAATCTTTTCTGTTATATGAGACAAATCAATGATAAAATCCTTCGCGTATTCTTCGTTTCCTAAGGATTTGAATCCCCAATTGGTAAAAATGGTCTAGATAACAAAATAATAAATTTATAACTTTCCAAGCATTGCTCATGTATCCTGGGACCACCAAGTAAGCAATACAGTTGTTAGGAAAAGGGTATTAGGTAAGGGTGACAGATCAATAGATGAAGTGATGAAACTTCATCAGTTGAGGTGGTTGGGACATGTGTTACGAATGCCCAACCACCGACTGCCTCGACGAGCGATGGTGCCTGGTGTAGAGGTGGTAAGCTGGAAGAAAGCTAGGGGTGGCCAGATCAAAACATAGCACAAATCCATGAAGTTACTGACAAGTGGATCGATTCATGCTGGTAGGTGTAGACTACCTGGTTGTGGTCCGCGAGACGAAATCCACTGATGGATAGAGATCTTGAACGACTTGGCTCAAAATCGTTTGCAGTGGTGGTGCAGGTGCATCTACCATTCTCTTTGTGTTCTCTCGAATTCTAATCTTTTGAATTCCTCATGAGGTTCTTTCATTTTTTTTTCTAAAATCTATTCTCCTGGGATATACTTCTCAAATGATATCTTCGATCGCTGATCTTCTTGATTACTGCTAATCTACTAGCTTTACTATTATGGGATTTGAATTAATAATTCATTTTGCTGTGTGCTAACATAGTACGTACATACGTACGTACGAAGTTCTACATTGTTACTGACTGACTAACTGTCTGATTAAGCTTGAACCAAATAAAAGTTGATAGTCTATCACAAGCCGTTCACATGAAGATGATCTCAAAGATCAGTGTACATGTTCTGTCATGCAGTTTTATTTTCCTAAAATTGTAGTTAGGAAGAAAAACAAGCTATCGTCTCGCAGACCCCAACCAGGTAGCCTACATCTACTAGCAACATGACTCAGTCAGTCCACTTGTCATTTAAACATTATATCACATTAACTTTTATGTGCCGAATTCTTTTTTTTTTAAAAAAATTTAAATATTTTTCACATTTCATAGGATTATCTGTTACTGATGAAATGTGTTTAACTGTTGGATTACACGATCTACTAAATGCTACATCTACTGGTCGTTGGTGGTTAATTGGTTCAGCAGTAAATCGCCCCGTAGATCTTATGTCATCTGTCAAATCTAAAAATGATGTGAAATCAACACATCCTGAAGTATGCATTGTTCAGTTTTTTGTTCACTTTTTGATATTTAAATTAATCCTCTAATGTCAAGGTCAATTTTACATTGGTTTTCAAGAGAACCAAGGAGACTGCTCATGTGTTAGCATTTCTACATGAACAGCTTGGCTCAATCCTGTGGTGCAACCACCAAACAGGTACCTGATACCTTGGTGGACCATTCACACCATTTATATATTTAAACACCAGTACATATATAGTGATTATTTCCGATCCATGATCGCGTCGTCAATCAATATGCACTGCATGACCCATCCCGCTTACACATGATTGTCAAACACATTATTATTAGCAGTGGTGATATGTAGCAATAATACAGCACCTCAATGACAATGGCTCTCGGGAATGTTGCAAACACAGCCACCATTAGTATCAATGGACTGTTAACGATGCTTACCAAAACAATGCCAAGTCATCCATAATGTTCACATTGAACCTCTGGTCTCATAAGAGAAACCTTCAGCTCTATTTATATAGCAGCAGCAGGTTGTATTTAATGCTGCTAACTATAACAGCACTAATGTGTGATTCTTACAAATATCTCGACTTTTTTAGGCAGATATATTCTTACACTTCATATTGGATTGTTGTTTGTTGAAGTTGGAATATAATCTCTGTTTGTTATTTCCGATTTATCGATTGTTTAGAATTAATTAATAGATAAAACCTTATGGTGGAACATCGCGCCTGGTGATTTATTTATTTAGATCGAAAAAAATGTTGATGCGGCGTATGGCAAAGTTTAATTGAATTCTTTGTCACTTTTATCTTTCTTGTCAGTTGAGGTTGTAGCACTGATAGCGGTAATCCAAAAGGTTAAGAATCGAAGGTTAAGAGATTCAAGAAAATTAAAACCAGTGAAATAAAAAAGGAAGAAAAGCTAACGAGGATTTCTGAAACCTCAATTTTGATGGAAAATAAAGAATGGATGCAATTGTACTATTGTGAACGATTTTGAGCCATATCATTCAAAGTCCGCCTAGTCTTAATGACGTTGAGAAAGCGTTAGGAAATCTGAAACGAGGACGAGCTGCAGGTCCTGATAGACTGACCCCTGAGATATATTTAAGGATGGTGGTCCATATTTAGCAGCTAGGTTGACTGAGATCTTAGGTAGAATCTGGGAACTGGACGTAATCCCATCCGACTGGACTCAATCACTGATTGTCCCAATCTATAAGAAAGGACACAAGTCTTCTTGTGACAATCACAGAGGAATAAGTCTAACTAATATAGTATCTAAAATATTGGCCTCAGTAATACTTTGACGCTTAACGAAAGCTCGTGAAGAGCAGACTCGAGAAAACCAGCCTGGTTTTCGACCTGGACGTGGTTGTATAAACCACGTCTTCACACTACGACAGGTCCTGGAACACAGACACACATTTAGGCGTCCTACAATAGTTGTTTACCTGGACCTAAAAGCGGCATTTGACTCAGTGGATCGTGAGGTTCTGTGGCAGTGTCTGTCATTGAAAGGTGTACCAAAGAAGTACATTAACCTCATACAGGCTCTCTACTCGAACACCATTGGTCGAGTGAGAGCATATGGCGAACTGTCACCGGAATTCTTCACTTCAAGTTGTGTCCGTCAGGGATGTCCACTCTCTCCATTCTTGTTTAATTTTATTATAGACATGCTCCTAGAAATAACCTTATCCTCGTCTGAATTTTCAGGAGTAGACCTTCTACCAGGTGGCTCGCTTATTGACTTAGAATATGCCGATGACATTGTCCTACTTGGTGAAGACGCTGACAAAATGCAGAGTCTTCTGACTACCCTAAGCAACAATGCAAGCATGTTCGGGATGCGGTTTTCCCCCTCGAAATGCAAAATGTTGCTTCAAGACTGGGTTTCATCGGCACCTGAACTAATGATAGGGAGTGAAGTAGTCGAACGTGTAGACTGCTTCACTTATCTTGGGAGTCTCATCAGTGCTGATGGCCTGGTGACTGACGAAATCTCAGCTCGGATACAGAAGGCTCGATTGGCTTTTGCCAACCTGCGTCACTTATGGCGTAGGCGAGATATCCGTTTCCTGACTAAAGGACGAGTGTACTGCGCAGCAGGTCGCTCCGTCTTACTTTATGGCTGTGAAACATGGCCAGTGAGAGTAGAAGATATTCGTAGGTTACTGGTATTCGATCATAGGTGTCTTCGAAGCATTACTCGTATATCGTGGGACACCCGAGTGAGCAACGCTGTTATTAGGAATCGGGTGCTAGGTAAGAATGGCAGATCAATAGATGAAGTGGTGAAACTTCATCAGTTGATGTGGTTGGGACATGTGTTGCGTATGCCTAACCACCGACTACCTTGAAGAGCTTTGTTTTGTAGTGTAGGAGTAGGTTGGAAGAAAGTTAGGGGCGGCCAAACCAAAACATGGTAGAAATCCATGAAGTCATTGACTAGTGGACTTAGCCATGTCGGTAATTGTCGACTACCTGGTTGGGGTCCGCGAGATGATAATAACCGATGGTTAGAGACCTTGAATGACATGGCTCAAAATCGTTCGCAATGGCGCCGGTGTGTTCTCTCAAATCCTAATCTTCTGGATTCTTCAACACCCCTAGTTTTGGCTTTCTAAACTTTTCTCACTGAATCATACTTCCTGAATAATATCTTCTAATCCTAACCTCTCTGATTACTTCTAATACCTTTACTACCTCTTCTACTATTATTGGATTTGAATTGACAATTCCATCTCTCTGTGCTACTGTGTGACATGGCGACATGAACTGATATACTTACGTACGAAGTTGTACGTTGCATCTGACTGACTGACTGACCGATTCAAAGTTTCTAACCAGTGGTTACCATCGTCTCGCGGATCCCTACCAGGTAGTCTGAATCCATTAACATGGCTCAGTTCACTTGTGAGTGATTTCATGAATTGGTAGCATGTTTTGGCTTGGCCGCCCCCATAGCTTTCCTCCAGCCTACTACTATACTAGACCGCATCGCTTGTCGAGGTTGCCCGTGGTTCGACATACGTAACACATTTATCAACCAGTTTAGTCGATAAAGATTGACTGTTTCATCAACTGATTCATCATCGTTTTTTCAGTAAATCGATTGAGTAATTAGTGACTCTTCATCAGCTAAAGCGAACTGATCTAGGTTTAAACGCATGACCTAGTAGTTAAAAGCTGAGTGCTTACATTATTCAGTCTCCATTCCAACTTCTTGTTATAAATTTATATTTAGTGTGATTTTGATTATTAGTTGATATTTAACAACTCAGTTGCCTCATCTGATACCAGACAACCTTTACATAGTATCTATTGAATTTTTCATCTAACTGTGCCTTGTTTTCAGATGGTAGCTGTTGCCGAAAAACTTGGTCTACGTACAGTGTCACGTCAGCTGACATTTAGTATTTTAGTTTCTACCGCTGGTGGTCCAGATGCTACAGCTTCAGCTTTGCTTAAAGCTTGTCATACTTCGGCTAATTCACCAGGTGTACAACTTGGAGCAGGTGGTGTAGCTGCGCGAGAAAGAGAAATGATTCATATTGTATTGCATTGTGTTATGTCGGAAATGCCTTTCAATCGTTTCTATCCACGTGTATTAGGCGGTATTCTAAATTGTCATCGACGATTTTTAGTACGTAAAAAGATAAATTGAATTTTTCTTCTGGTTGGCGTTTTTTTGAGTGAGTTAGTTTTGTACGTATTGGGGTTGCCAACCCCCATACCCTATCCTCCACCTTTATCCGGGCTTGGGACCGGCAGTAGCCACATAGGGGCTCCAGATTTCAGTGGAGGAAGAAATTAGGAAGAAGCGCTGAAGGTGTATAGGACATACATTGAGGGAAGCACCTAACTGCATCATAAGACAAGTCCTCACCTGGAATCTTCAAGGCTAAGGGAAGAGAGAAAGGTCAAGGAACATTACCCTGAAGACTGACTTAAGTGTTTTTAATCACGAAGTTCCTTGACTGCCCAATTTGTTATTTGTCACATATTAACAATCATACATTTATTCTCAAATAACCGCTTGTCACAGTAGGCTTGCCAGTTTATAGGTTAGATGCTACCACATTTACTGTGTAGAAGTTAGCGAAGTTAGATTGGAAGTAAGAGATTGTTTCTGATAGCACATTTACATCAATCATGTCACTGACAGAAACAGTTTGATACAGCCACATTTTCAATAAGTGAGTACAAATATAGGGAAGGTACACAGTAGAGTTCTTGAGTGGTTTGTATAATTTAGGAGTAAATTTGTTGGAAGGCGCTTGATGTGCGTGTACAAAAGGTGCATGGGGGGGGGTTAGCATGGATGTTTCGCTGTGGATAGAGTTGTGACAAGGGGAAAAAGAGAGTAAAAAGGAGCAACGAGCGAGGCGATTGTGTATATATAACCAGAACATTGCTTAACTTTTCATGGTGAAGTAGACAATGCAGTGGTAAGTCAAGATAAAATTCATACTGACCACTAAAATTTAAGTAAATTGTAGTAATTTAGCCCAAAAATTAAGGAGTACACTAATGAAGAATGAAGGATTATGGAGTGTGTAAAGTGGATAGAAAAGATTTCAGCTACAAACCTCAACTCATGACCTGTTTAAGGCGGTTATTGGGTTTGTTTATCTGTAAAAAGAAGAGATTCCTTTAGTAATAACGTACTATAGCTTAATGTCATCCACTTCGAAATTGTTAGAAATAAAACCGTCTACTAATTATTAACAAGTAGTATAAAATAATAATAAACAAGAAAAGAATGGGAGCCATTCATATTAGTGAACTTAACATACGTCGTAATAGTAAATTTGGCAAATCATATTCGGTGTGATCTGTGTTATGTTTCCTCTAAAATACTAACAATAGTAATAATTATAATACAGTAGTACATTAACAACAAACAGATTCATATACTTCACTTTGAAACTATAGCACCTCTCATGTATATTTGAGTTTGTTTCTGTTTAATTTCGTCAAGTCGTTTTGCTAAACTTATTGAACAGATAGCAACAACTTGTTCATAGCATTGTACTATTATTATTGTCGTGTTTGTATGAGTTATGTATGCTTCGAGATTGTTTACGGCCTATGCACATATTCTTTCGAACGAAGCTGATGGTAGTCTTCGTCATTGCCATGAATACCTCTACTATTTATCTTTATCACTGTGGGATTTGATTTGACGTTTGCGTCTCTGTGTGCTAATGTAGTGGTATGACAACATGAACTTATGTACATACGTATGAAGTCCTACGTTGCAACTGACTGACTGATGCACATATTCTTGCTACTAGCTCTTTAGTGTTAATCGCTTAAACAATTCAGTGCCTCATTCATTTTCCTAACTACATATGTGTATGTGTGTGCATTTTAATCCTATTCATTCACTCTTGGACATTTGTATATTATTCCCCTTTCTCTTCGTATGTGTGTTGTGATGGGTGTTATTTAGCAACATTTATCAGGATGAATAAGGTACGAAGTTTAAAAATTATACCGAATATTCACAGTCACGAGTATTTTTAACTCATTATAATAACAAAAAAAAAATGAACTCCCATCGAATACCTTACTTACGTACGATCGCTAACCAGTATTCTCTAACCCCTAACCCCTCCGATTACTTCTAATTCCTTTACTACCTCTACTACTATTGGATTTGAATTGACAATTATATCTCTGTGCTGATGTGGTACGGCAACATGAACTGATGTACTTACGTACGAAGTTCTACGTTGCATCTGACTGACTGACTGAGTATTCTCTAGCCTACTCTGTCCTGGGCCGTCTTTTCTAGTTTTGTTTAATTGTTGCTCATTCTTCTCATGTCTATCTTCATTTCTTAGTGTACATGTGTTCTCCGGTCTACCTCTTCTTCTCTGACTTAGGGGGCTTGTCTTGTGATGCAGTTGTGTGCTTTCCTCAATGTATTTCACATTCATGTCCAGCGCTTCTTCCTCTGCTGGAATCTGATTTATTCTATTCCATAGTAGGTTTTTACGGTGTCTGGTGTCTGATCAGCAGATACTGAACTTCATCAGCGCTCCGTATTCATCTTCTGAATTGTATACACTGTCAGGTGTTATTTTTAGTAACGTTTATC